GTAGAAAGAAAACTATGTTAGGCAAACATAAATATGGAAAAGCAAAGGTGAACGCTGCATCAATTTTACCTCCCCAACGTCTACTGCTTCATCTGTTAGTGTGGCAACTGTAAAAACAACTCCAAGTAAACCTTCAATTGCCAAGGTTATTGCATGAGCTTCACTCGCAACGAGAACAGCAGCACTGGAAGCATCATTATCAAGCATCCATTCAATTCCTACAGCATTAAGGGAAAATGTTTAAGGACATCTTTCATTAGAATGAAATAAACATATTTTTCAGAACTTTGATATGTTTACACAAAACAACAAAATAATTGATTACCTTTAGCTTTGCTACTAAACATCCCAGCAACAGCAGCTAGACTTTCCTCACTCGTCTCCTGAAACTATTATAAGAAACCCAACTCGAGAATTAAGCCATGTTCCAAGTTTTTACTCTTGTTATGCGATGTCATTTATTAAGTTAATAAGCCACTTTATAGTTCCTGAAGTTCTTCCCAAAAAGAATTCCTGGTACACAAAATAAGTAAAAACTAATCGTACATCTATCACTAACAGGTGAACAAATCAAAATAGCGAATATAAGAGCTCAAGCAAATCAAGACTAGAGAAAACATTATGGGCGACCTTGCTTCCAAACCCACCTGTATACTAGAAACAACCCGAGCAAGTGATTTGACCATGCTCTCCACGACATTTGTGTTCTTGGGGTGCCTGGAAGATAAAGTTACTATTAGATCACAGAAGCAACATGATCAGGAAAAAAACAGGACGACCAGAGAATTTCAATAGCGAAGTTATTAGACATAGCATTACAACTTTTATCAAAAGTTCATGGTAAAAGTGGGTAGAATCACAAGAAAACTCTTAATATTTTAATTCAACTGCAGAGTATGAAGAAAGTACGCGAAGGGGAGATTAGTTTCCTTAACTAGCAACATGGAGTTTATCACAAGGACAGATAGAAGTAGGTACCCTTACATATCAAAGTTCTGGAAAAGAATCTGCAGTGTTCTTGCCTCAACACAGAATCCCTATTTAATTCACATACACAAGAGATCATAGAAATGTGAATTGAAAGAGAAAGATTCAACACTAATTTCTGTACATACACATGCAAGTAGTAGTAACAGAATGTAGTGATTACCCTCAAAATCTCAAGAACAAGAATGCGATGCCACAATGGCAAATCTAAAAATGTAGCTTTCACGAGCATACTTAGGAACACCTGCACAGACAGAAATGAAATTGATGCACATTAGTACGAAAACTTGCAAATATCATAGTCAACAGAAGAACAGGTTTCATGTGCTTGTTCCTTTGTGGCCAATAGCACATAAGTTTACAGANAACAAGTAAAGTTGTGCATACTGTACCTCGCATTCGGTAATGAGAGATGAACTATACAGTCGAATAATATGAGCAACTGACCGCAGCACCAACCGGCGAAAATAAGGTTCAACCACTTCTCCCTCGAGCTGAGCAGTAACAAACTCTTATTCTATGAGTAAATGCATTTAGATATGCTTCAATGCTCATCCAAATTTTATTCCAGGTACATGGAAGTATACAAAGATTAAAAAAAAAATCCGTCAGGCATGCTTTTACCTCTGAACTGGTCCGAAGTGATGTCATCAGAAGGGAACAGATTTGGTGACGCAAAACCTGACGAATAGACAGGTAAGCTTTTACATTTAGATCATGACAATGGAAAGATGAAAAACAAGAACCAATTTGGAAAAAAGTCTAGCGTTACCTGTTCGTAGGGAAGAAGTATCTTAAAAACTGAGATATAGTTCGACAAAACAAACCTACAAATTAATTTGAGAAATTGTACATTTAAAACATGTTTTCAGTCCGTTTCAACATGTACAACTATAGTAAAAGAAATCCTTGCCAACTCACTCAATTAGTTCGAGGGAAAAGGTCCTTGGAAGAGAAGCAACATGTAACCAAGCTGCCTGTAAAAGCATGAATATGACAGTTAACTCAGTGAAATCCTTTAACAACACTTATGTTATCTGGAGAAAATATACAGAACTAGAATCAATATAGTTGAATTAACACATACAGATCCACCTGCAGCTGATGCTGTCAGGTCCTCAAGCAACCGCAGACCAAGTTTTCCGGTATCACTCAGGGCTTCTCTCATTGTCAAACGACCACAGATAACATCCTTCTCCAAGGGCCTGCTTTCATGTATTTTTCTGTTAGTCTATCGACTAACTGTAACACTAAATGCCAAAGGTTCCAATTGAATAAAGCACGAGTTCTAATGTAGAGCCTATGTCTTTCATTTAATGAGGTGAAGCAAAAATCAACCAGCATATAATCTAATGATCCCATCCCCCACTGTGTATAAACATAATCACAATTCCACGAAAGCATCAAATAAACAGAACCATGTATATCTAAGTACAGACTACAAAAACTGAGTTAAAAGAATAAATCAGGCAGCATCAAATCCGGATTGCGTACTCCGAGTTATTGATATTCTGACTCAAGTCTCCAGTAACTGAGCCAGTCCTTGCGGTTTGACTGCTAGAACCAAATTTACGTATAGGAAGGGACTCGGCAGAAACCACTTGATCAAAAATCAATGCAACTGCTTGCCTGAAGGTAGCTGCAGCAGTACTGGGAGACCAAAAAAGTCAGAACCATGAATTTTTATTTTGTAGAAAAAAAAAAGATTAAAGAGAAAAAAAGTACCATAAGAGAAATGAGATACAGTTTGTATAAAAGCAACTTACTTGTACACGCTAGGAGATCGGTTGTTATCAAGAAGCCTGAGACAGATACTGAGTCCCATGATCATATTATCCTGGCATTAAGAAAGAAACAAAAGCCTCACGAATAGAAAATCCATAAGGAAGCAGATAAATGGAGAATTGACGTTTGCACAAGACAGTTTGGTTTACTGGTGTTTATTAATGGGTCACTCCAAAAATTCAATTTTCCCGATATCTGCATTCTATTGTTATATGCATAAAAACATATAACTTTTGTTTGCGTCAATGAGCAGGATCAGGACTGATTTTTAGGTTGAATCTACAATTTAGTCTACAAACAATTTTGCATTAGACTTCCATTCTTACTACACCAAGCTTATCGTACTCACCTCGGTTTCTGGATGTAGGCGAGATTGAAATATTATTAGAATAGTTTGAAGAGTCTTCAATTGGATATTTTCTTCTGCCATTTCTGAATGCTGCAAGTAAGTAAACACCGTGATAGATAGTACTTTGCAATAAAATTCAGCAAGTAAAAGTAAATCTGTTTTGCCTTTTCCACACAAAAGACAATAAGAAGGCATATCTCTAGCAGAAACTTATGTATCAGAAATCTGTCAAGAGGTATCTATGAAGATCCTTTGACTCTTAAAATTCAACATGCTGGCAGTTGTATATTAAAACAAAACGAGAGAAATGAAGAACTGAACCTTAATCATCAGGTACACTCAAATGGTTCTTGTTGCATTACAGAGCAATTACAGAAAGTAGTTACTTTAGAAAAAGTTACAGAAACTCACTTACATCTTTCAAGGTATATAGTATCTCCTTTAGAGATGATGGTTCAACTGCATCATGGGATATAAGCTTCTGCAAGCACGAAAGTCCTATAACACTAAGTTTTGTATTCCTAACTCCACAGGCCATCAAAAAGATCCGAAGAATGTCATCATTGCTTGAAAGCTCACTAGCACTTGATGACGAACGAAGCTGAAAAACAACCATTTTACAGGCAACCCATTGAGTAAATGGAGTCACAGGATTTGCACTGTAAGGCACTTATAATTCAATTCACTAGCTACATTATAACAAAGATTTTGAGAATATAGATGCTGTCAAATCCAAGTTGCATGAAAACAGAGATAGCTGTCAAGTGATCCGAAAGAAAGAAACTATTGCACATTCAGTTCAACATTCCTTAGTTTTAGCAGAGAAGAGTGTCCAAAATCAATTTGTTTTCATAAGTCTAGGAATTTAAACCATTGTTAGAAGTTAAAGAACTATACATAAACCATTCTGGACATGATCAATCGGACGCACATTCAATCTGAAAGTCTCAGTTGAAAAGCATAATGCGAACTAATTAAAACAAACACCAATTGAAAAGACGCAGTCAAATCTCCATTGCTCGAAACAGCAGACTCAGGGAAAAACTAACCTTCAAGATTGCGTGCTCCGCTCCGTCTTTCACGGCGGGATACCTCCGCCGCGCCTCCGCTGAGAGAGCGCGAAGATCCGCCTCCAAAGCCGCCACTAAAGCCATTTTCGGTACTTGAAACCTCTCGAGAGCAACTCCGATGCTAGAGCTGTCGCGCCACTTCGATTTTACTAAGAAATTAGCTGAATCAGGAAGTCTGGCATCGAGATCGGACACAAAAGCTTCGATCGAGACGTACTGAGAACAACAGAAGAAATGGAAATCGAAGGTAAAGAGATTTTTGAGATATCGAGAAAACAAAAAAAAAAAAACGAGTCAGATTCGACCATGTCCTAGCACGCGCATGTCACGTGCCTCAAATTGCTTCATAACTTGAGTAACGCTTATTGAGATTTTTCATTTTTGGGACTCACAGACCAACACTCAAACACAACATTTTCTTAAACTACTATGAAGTTTTAATTCAAAGCTTTTCTTAAATTCATTACTGTATAAAGTATTCCAACTACATACAAGTCAAAACACAATTTGAAACAAACAAACAAATAAATATAACCATCTCGAATCATTTGACTAACAAACTGTATTTATACATTAGTCTCGATCTCCATGTGTGTAGTGTACTTCACTGCTTTGTTGTGAAGCTTGTAAGTACTCTACTACAGAAGATATCATCATATCACCCAACTATCTGTAAAACTCTATTTGTTAACTGTTAAGACAATCGATCCAATCCTCTTAGGATGGAATCAAGCATTGAATACCTACATAAACTCAGAAAGACACTGCAACAATTACCCTTTTATCCGCCTAAACCCGAACCAGATCTCCTAGTGATTAAACAGCAAACTATCATGTGTTTGTCTCCCAAGGGATTCGAGTCCTAAGCCTGCTAATCTCTCTATGCATTTGTCTCCTAAACGCGTACAAAACTTTATGTTATGTGACACAAAGATTCTCCCCTTGTAAGGCTTCAACTTAGCTACTAGCCTTTCGAGTCCAGTCCAAACAAGTTCAGCACGCATATGGAGGAAGACTGCACTTGCGTATATCAGATCATAGGCTACATCTGAACCAAACTTGCTGAATTCCATATCTTCCCCTCTTACTATTAGAGGCCGTTTATGTAGAAGACCTTGAGAAGGAAGCTCATACCTTAAGGCAGCCATTAGAGAAAGCTCATCCTTTTCAAGACAGTGGAAATTCCCGGGATTGAGATAGCGGATGAAATGCAAACCAACACGGAGCGTACCACATCCTATTTCAAGGACTTCAGCATTATTAGGTTATAGATTGGCTGCTTCGGCCAAAAACTCAAACACGTCACGCCCACCAGCCCATGGTTCACCGTAATTGCTGTGATGCTCCTCAACAAGTAACTCCCCAAGGCATGGAAGAGCTGTGTGGTTGGTTGCTTCATCTCCTTCGTAATGCGAAATACCTTTGTACCTGAATTCCCAACAGAGTAAATTTCGAAAGTGATACCAATACAGAAGAAAGAAAGCTCAGATACAGAATTGGCAAACAGACAACCGGAGGTAATAACAGTGAAGACTACTAAGAATTGA